AAAATCAATTAACTTTGAACGAAGTCGCATATAGGTAATTATTCTTCCTTTGTTTTTAATTTTGTTGTAATGAGCTGACGGTGTGACGGTGTGGGAGAGGCTTAGTGACTGGTGATGAAAAATGTGTGGTTTTTTATTTTAATCTTGTTCCTCTTTTTTATATCACTGCACCTACCTATGTACGCTGTATTACTGTGCAGGAGACTGGCACTGGCTGAAAACCAGCGCTGCATGGACCTAGTGCCGTACAGCTTACGCTGAGCCGGATGCCCTTGTCACCTTATTTTTAATTGTTAAGCTGTGTTAAAGTTGTATTTTTTTTGTTATGGTGACAATAAAGGTTTATTTATTTATTTTATGTGTGCTGGGCTCTAAAGGGGATTTTCAGCGATAAATTCATCTTCGTTCTCCTGATGTTATCTGCCCACAATGTCGTCAAAATATGTCCCATTTCAGACCAACCTGCCCGAAAGCGAGAGCCCCGAAGCATTACAGCGCCTCATCCGCTGCTCCATCATGGGCGCGCCCGACGCCGACAAGCGGGGCTTGCCACGTGTGTTGGACTCACTCGAGGTAACTTACAAAATATAGGTCCCCGTGGTTAGAGAGAGATTTCTTGATGTTGAAAGTAAAGACCATATTGTCCTTCGTATATAGGGTGACCTATTCAAACAAAAATTATTGATTCCGATGCTCAAATGGAACAACTTTCGTAGAGGAACAAAATTACATCACCGTACTATTTGACTGATTATTATTATTTTTTGCAAAGGATGTCGTATTTGATACCCTGTATAAGGTAGGTAGTTGGCTCGTGATCAATAGTTACAGCAACTCCTGTTATTCTTTGATGAATTTCCTTGATGATTCCTCCATATTTATTGATGGAACTCCCAGTCTAGAAAAAATGTCTAAAGACAACGAGATGACCTGTACTATGACATTAAGCATACTTAATAGTGTTTGGTGGTGTTAACAGGTGTCGTGCAGCACGCGCCACAACATCCGTCTATTAGCAGACATCATCTACTCCGTGGCCTTCAGCGTCAAACCGCCAGGTATATCTTACTTTTACATTTAGGTTGGCTAGTTGACTCCAATACCAATAACTCATAGCAGCCGAAATAGAGTAGGACCACACCCACTCTTTCCTCTAAAAATACACAAATCTATCCCTGAAAATCAAACTATAGGCTGAGCGCTTTACTCAGTCAGTGTCTGAGGTATGGGAGCGGCGATTTTGACATTTATGACGTGACAGAGCATACAAATCTGAAGTTTGACATTTGACGTAACAAAAACACCTCTCTCGAGCCGCTCCTGTACCGAGTTAAGAATTCTCTTTGAAATCAATAAATTGTTCAATTGATTGGGCGAAAAAGTGTCTTCATAGCTTGTCAACATTTCGACAACTCATAAAATGTGTGTCAATTCACTGGTGGTCTCAACTAGCCTTATATTGTGTGTATTCAAAAACCATATTCGTTCGTTCGTTCGTTCGTTTCAGCCGAAAGACGTCCACTGCTGTACAAAGGCCGCCCCCAAGGATTTCCACAAAGACCGGTCCTGCGCCGCTCGCATCCAGGCACCTCCCGCGACCTTCACCAGTCACCGAGTTTCCCTGCGTGATCGAATCAGAAATGAGGAGATCCGTAGGAGAGCCAAAGTGACTGATACAGCCCGCAGAATCGCTAAAATCAAGTGGCAGTGGGCGGGGCACATAGCTCGTAGAGCTGATGGCCGCTGGGGCAGGAAAGTTCCTGAGTGCTGACCACGAATCGAAAGACGTGGCGTGGGCAGGCCTCCCACTAGATGGACCTACGAAACACCATATTGTAATGTTCCAATGTTTCATCCCACAGGCAGCAAGGAGCCCCTACTAGAACAACTAGTCCCCGCGTCGTACCTAGCTCTAGAGGAATGCGTGACAAGTCTCGCTCAAGAGCTGAAGGAACCCGTACTGCGTCATCACGACTACAAGCGGCTGGTGAGTGACGTCATCATCATCGTCATTGCTAGTGGCAGTCCATGCCGAACGAGAGCCATAAATCATTTAATCGTTGCCGCTGTCTTCTTGGGGTCGTCGGTCTTTCTAGCAAGTATGGTTTGAACTATACTTTGATATTAAGTAGGTATCGATACTTAGGATAACAAAACTCGAAGTATCGAGCATTGTACTCAGTAGAGTACACGTCACTACTATCCAATTAAGGGTGGATTCGTCCAAACAAGAGTAAATATTAATTTAAAAAATAAATCGTCACATTCGACATTTTGACATATTTCCCATACTGAAACTGTCATTGTGCCAGTTATACCAGGAGTTATTCTCGAATAAAAGCTTGGTCGAATCGGGCCTAACTCACTTATGTAGCAAGTTTTCCATTTGTTTGGTGAACGCGTCTAGAAAATATTAGGGCAATTGAAGCTGTCAATAAAATATTAGTGCTACCGCTACTGTCATATTTCAACATCAAATTTTTGACTTAGCCGTTCATATAACCTGCTTTCCTCTTGGTTGCAGGTGAGCCAGTACATGCAGTCCAAGAACCTGCGCGGCTTCCGCGACGAGGCCGAGCTGCACCAAGCGACCATGTTTCTGCACGAGAACGGTAAGCGTAACATAAAAAAAAAGTTACAAAATCAAGACCGAATGTTCCTCGTAAAGAACTATATTTACAGCTCTTTGTTGCGACGACATTTGTTGAAGATACTCGTATTTATTATAGATTTGCGGTCTGAAATCTCACCAGAACATCACTTCACTAAAAAAACAAAGTTCAAAAGAAGGCTGAGCGAAGTGATTTTCGAATTAAGACTGATATTACGTTGTTGAGGATAGTTAAGAACTATTCAGCCGACATCCCATTCTACAGTAAGGATCGCCCGTCGCTCCGCGTTCGTTTAAAGATCACAAGAAAACTTTTGTAACTTAAAAACTTAACGCACGTGCGTGACGTTTCTTTATTCTTTTACTCAGAACCGATGTTGGTAATCCCCACGTGCGATATTGCATTAACCACGTCTGTTACAGGCGTGCTACTGCACTACGACGACGCAACCCTCANAACACTCGAGGAGCTATACTGCCTGCGGCCGCAGTGGCTGTGCGACCTGTTGTAGTTGCACGCCCGTTGCAGGCCGGTTGGAAGCCGGTAGAAGCCGGTGCACGATTGTTGCATGCCGGTTGCACCATGTCAGCGGTACGAATGAACATGCATCATAGGGTTTGCTTCATTGTACATTTCTGATGATGTTTCAGATAGTATTTTATGTATGTACTTATATGTTGCGTGCATGGTAAAAAGTTTATCTCTAACACAATCTTACTACGAATACTTCGCAAGGCCTAAGCTGAACTTTGCATTTGTGTGAGTGCACATGGATAGTGTAGGTGTGACAGCAGTGACAGTTTATTTTACCGTTTTTTCGTTTGAGTCCAAGTCCGCCCCACGTCTGTCACACTTCGCTCTTGTACTGGCAGCAGCGTGACGTCTTTAATTTATTTTTAATTTTTTGTCTGATTCTACTTTTGGTGATCACTCACTCAAATACAAAGCTTAGCTTACGCCTCGAGAACTGTAAAAATGTGATTTCCGAAAGTAACGAATGTGATCCTCTACATAATTTTGTAATATGAAGAGAGCAAAAATGAAAAAATGGCTGTGATATACGGACGGACAGATGGACAGACAGACATGACGAGTCTATAAGGGTTCCGTTTTTTGCCATTTGGCTACGGAACCCTAAAAACCGTATTGCGTTGCATTTGTTCGAAAGTGACGTCTTTGTTTTTTTGTTTATTAATTTCTTTTTAAATCCTGTCCTTGACAGAAAGCCTATGTGTTCCCCAGGCATAATGCGCACCGAGGACTTAGCCCACGTGTTCAAGGCGAGCCCACTGCTGGGCGGCGGCGACGAGGCGTGCGGGCTGGGCGCGTCGCTGCTCAACAAGTTCGAGCTCGCGCTCAGCTGGGACGCGCGCGTGCTGCTGCTGCCGCCGCTGCTGCCGTCCAACCCGCCCGCCACGCCGCAGGTCAGTCCACTGCTGGGCTCAGCTGGACGCTGCTGCTGCTGCCGTCCAACCCGCCCGCCACGCCGCAGGTCAGTCCCACGCCGCAGGTCAGTCCACTGCTGGGCTCAGCTGGGACGCTAGTGCTGCTGCTGCCGCCGCTGCTGCCGTCCGACCCGCCCGCCACGCCGCAGGTCAGTCCCACGCCGCAGGTCAGTCCACTGCTGGGCTCAGCTGGGACGCGCGCGTGCTGCTGCTGCCGCCGCTGCTGCCGTCCAACCCGCCCGCCACGCCGCAGGTCAGTCCCACTGCTGGGCTCAGCTGGGATGCGCGCGTGCTGCTGCTGCCGCCGCTGCTGCCGCCGCTGCTGCCGTCCAACCCACCCGCCACGCCGCAGGTCAGTCCCACGCCGCAGGTCAGTCCACTGCTGGGCTCAGCTGGGATGCGCGCGTGCTGCTGCTGCCGCCGCTGCTGCCGTCCAACCCACCCGCCACGCCGCAGGTCAGTCCCACGCCGCAGGTCAGTCCACTGCTGGGCTCAGCTGGACGCTAGTGCTGCCGCAGGTCAGTCCACTGCTGGGTGCCAGCAGCAAAAGTCACAATGACTTCTGCAGAAGAGAACAGTGCGGGCCATTTATAACCTTGGACCCAGATTTTTCTTGAGAGAATTCTTTAAGGAGATTAAACTTTTCAATAAATTACCACAAACTTTTGTAGAATTGCCCATTCATAAGATAATGCTAGAAATTGGCGTCTTTTTTTTCGCGCGGCCATCGACTAAACCTTATTTTTTATTACAAAATGGTGTAATAAACCAAACTTACAATGACATGTATACCTCTAAACTCAGTCTGAACTGAGTTACGAGCATTAGAAGTTTGATGATTTTACATACTAGATTTCCTTTTTGCGCGCAAGTTTTGTAAGAAATTGCAACAAAATAGTGACATTGTATGTGTAACAAACAATACCATCCATTATAGGCTCCAGCCATCAGTGTGGAGCAGAATCAGCGCAATAAAAAAATACGGCACTATACCCATATCGATACATATTACTCAATGTACTTACTAGACTGTACCTATAAATGTGCCTGCAGTTTATTTGTGTAATTATGCGTTGCCTTGCTTGCCGTTAAAATAGAAGTACATATGAAGACGTCAAAAACGAAGACCACCTAGAGCGCACGATCGTGCGTTCACAATTTGAATTGAAATCACGTCACAAGCGTAACACTTTATTTTATTTTTTTATTTTTTTTAAAAAGATTATTAGTAATTTATTATTACACAAATTACTAATACTCCCGTTAGCCCCTCGTACTAAGCTAAATATGCTTGTGTCACGAGTGAGCTCACCACAATAGTCGAGCGGCGGCGGGGACCGAACCCGCGTTCCCCGGATCACGAGTCGGCCAGTCCGACCCCTTCACCGTTCGGCTATCGTGACTTTCCTGGTGTTTCAGCTAGCGCTGCGGTCTCGCGGGCGCGGCACGCCGGGCCGCGTGTGGCCGGCGGCGCCGCAGCTTACGCCGCTTCCAGACACGCGAGGCGCCGACTCGCCTACCCTCGTCTGTGAGTATGATAAGACATAGACCGTTTTAACATTGAGGGCACCAGACCACGTGGTAGACCACCAATGAGATGGACGGACCAGATCAAGGCCGCAACTAAGTGCTCGGTTAGCGAAAGTACCCGGAAAGCTGCAGTCCGCGAGGAATGGCGCCGTATTACGAGGAACATCACTCTGAATCGTGATTCAAAATGATGACCACGACCACTCTGACAAGAGTGTACCGACTGAGAAGAAGACCGTTTTAACAAACGATGAAGAATAATAAAAAGGGGTAGCGTAATTCGGTAGTGATAAGTTAATGAGAATTAATATTTACGTTTAATAATTAACTTTTTTAAAAAATAAAACCGACTTCAAATGCGTGAACACAAAAATAAACTAAAAATTGAAAATATTGCGTATAAAAAAGTTCATCCCCAATTTTCCACCCTTGGGGGTGAAATATTTTCTTCAAATTCGCATGAAACCACCCTTTTGATAATACCTATTCAACAAAAAAATAATCGTTCAAATTGATTTATAATCGGCGGAGATATTGCGTATAAAAAAGTTCATCCCCAATTTTCCACCCTTGGGGGTTGTTTTTTCTATTATTAAATTTAAATGGGACCACCCTTGAGGTATTACCTATACGCCGAAAAAAGATTTGTTCAAATCGGTTCATAATTGGCGGAGTTATCGCGTAACAAACATAGAAAAAAAAAACACTCCGAGGAGAGACGACCTGCTGCCGCCGCCGCCGAGGGAGACCGAGCCGGATGACGAGCTGTACCATTATGTCAGGTGAGCTACCGAGGATGCAGGGTGAGCTTGAGCTTAGGCATATGTAGGTGATGCCTCCGAGTAGAGACGACCTGCTGCCGCCGCCGCCGAGGGAGACCGAGCCGGATGACGAGCTGTATCATTACGTCAGGTGAGCACTGAGCTACTAAGGTTGCAGGTTGATATGTTAGATGAGCTACCCAAGTTGCTGGGTGAGTTAGAGCTGACGCCTGTGTGAGCTGCCTGCGAGGAGAGACGACGTGCTGCCGCCGCCGCCGAGGGAGACCGAGCCGGATGACGAGCTGTATCACTACGTCAGGTGAACTTTAACTTCGAACTCCTATGTTTTTCTGCTTAATTTCCTTTGCGGGTCCAATGACAGTTCAACTTTTCCTCGGGGCAAACTTGACCTTCACTGGTTGGGTTTTTATTGAAGGCGAAGCTGTAGATTCCGTCATGGCTAATCAAAAGTTGCAACGATGGGAACGAGAGAATAGTGACATTACGTCAGGAGAGCTACCGAGGTTGCAAATGCAGGGTGAGTTAGAGATGGCTCCGAGGAGAGACGACTTGCTGCCGCCGCCGCCGAGGGAGACCGAGCCGGATGACGAGCTGTATCATTACGTCAGGTGAACCTTAACTTCGATCTCCTATGTTCTTCTGATCAATTTTTTAGCGGGTTCAATGGCAGTTCAAATTTCAACTTTCCTCCGGGACGAACTTGATCTT